CTTTAATATCTCTAGACATATACTACATAGATGTAGTAATATATTTCTGTGTACAAAAATAGTGCGCGGATCTTTTTGAGAACATGGGTCTATTTTATGTCAAACCTTACTTTGGCAGTTTGAATGCTCAAAAAGATTGTAATATATGGATTTTTAATTTTTTAACACTCATGTTATTCAGGAAAGTAGTTTAAAATAAAATGTTTACACATTTATTTCGCTATAACGCTCCTTTTTTCTCTCCATTTGACATAGACTAAGTCTTTTCACTAGCCTGCTTTCTGCAACGAATCGACCACCTCGTTCTGGTACCATGAGACTAGCCTCAGAAAGCCTAATCGATCGGCCGCCGAGGCTGGCCTCAACAGCAAGTCACAGCAGTGGCACGCTCGCCCAGCCTTCCTCTGTTTCGCATAGGCCACATTCATATCTCCGCGCCTTACGACATCCTGGTCTTGCCTTTTTACAGCGGTCGACCTCCACTGCAACAACAACGACAGTGGTGGCTAAAGCCCCTACAAAATCAGGTTTAATTGGCAAAAGTCTTTGTTCTGCCGTGGATGGTCTAAATTGCCTGGAGACAACAGAGTGTAAGGGCTTCGGACGTCGCATATTCTCTGGATTCTCGGGAAGTGGCCGTGATGACAGCATCAGCATAACAGAGCGATCAATGTTCCCAGCAGCATTTGTTTTTGATAAAGTTGCAGACAGTTGCGACGATCTCTTGACTTCCCGCATTGCCATTGGGGAAGACAGAGGTCACGTGCTCAACCCCGTGAGCATCTTTATTATTTTGTTAACTAATCTTCCATTTCTTCTTCTCATTCCTTATTTTAATAAATTCCCGGTGATTATATTTATTCACTTCTACTATTCAGCTTATATTTTTATTTAGTCTGTTATCTCTATCATATTAAACCTTTAAATATCCCGTTCTTGCGGTTAATTTATGCCTTAACGTTTATAGCCCCTAACCCTTCCATTTTTAGTAGACTTAGCTAATAATTATTTTTCCATTATATTCTATTTATTAGCTAATGACGCGCTATTTCTCACATCAAAGTAATCTAGGTGTACCCAATACTTACTTCTACATATTTAACTTCATGTATCTTATTACTTTTGTGGGAATTGCGAATACATTGCTTTTATAAGTTGCACTCTTCTTAATCACACTCACCCGCTACTTGCAAACATTTACTTATCACCATCTCGATGAATCCCAACTTAACCAACATTTACTGCTATACAAACTTTCATTTTATATGAAGGTGCACAGAGAAAAGATTCAAAGGTCGATGTTAACAAAAGACGGCGGCTGTTTCCTGTTGTAATGCAGCTGTTTG